TTGTTTTTGAACAACCCTCTCTAAAAGTTTCGAAACACAGGGCAGTAATGATATTGGCCTGTAATTATCTGGCTGACATTTGTCACCTTTTTTGTGCAATGGTATAATCTTTGCAATCTTCCACTGGCAAGGAACTAGTCTACCCATCAGTTATTGACTTATTAATAAGGTATGCTATAATTCTAAAGATTTCTGTTGCACAAGTTTTCATTATGTAAGAACTGATCCCATCCAAACCAACCGATTTCTTATTCTTTAGGCTGTATATTTCTTTTAACACATCTGCTTCAGAAACTAAAGAAAGCTCAAATAGTTGGGTTTGCATATCATTATCCAGACCTGCCTCGTTACATACATGCGAGACATTAACCCCATTTAAAGTCAATATCAAAATTAATTTCATCCTTCTCTGTTGCTTGGATTCCATATAATAACATACTGTATCTTCAAAATATAATTTTGATTGGAGCATCTTGTTACAGTGTACTGTATGTACATGTATTCTATAATCTATATATTTCCAAATTAATCTAATACTTGAACTGGACAACTCCAAAACATACTGTACAGCTGTACATGTACAGTATGTAAATCCCCTACTTGATCACGTTCAATACAAATATCACTACCCCTTGTGTTCCATTTCTTTAAATGATATAACTTTGGCAGTAAATAATACATAAATTTAAAATTAAATTGAACAATAACATAACATTAACCTTTTTTTTTAATTTGAATGCCCAGGTAGCTGTCCATGAATGGTTTATTTCTATTGCAACCTTTTCACTCAAAAACAATTGTTATTGTGCCCTTGAAATTTCAACTTTTAATTGTAATAACTAATAGCTCATTATAAATCTGCCTTACACTTTTACCAGTACATGTAAAGTACAACCTGTACTGTTGCCGACTTTCCGCAAATAATATAATTTCTTCTAAATATTTTCTTTAAATCTTCTAAACAAAAAATATTTTAATGTTTTTTAAGTTTTTCATCTAGTTTTTTGGCAATGATGCAAAAACAAATTGTATCTCTGTTAACCATTTCCCATAAAAAAATAAATCAACTCATCTTTAGATCCATTAACTGTAAAGAAAACTTTGCTTGGTTACTAAATTTAATATGTACTGTATCACCCACAAATATAAATAAAAAAATCCTTCCATTATGTCCAGTATTATTTTTAAAGAGTCATGTCAGGAATTTTATAAACCAGGTCCCAATGACCTTGCACCGATCGGAACCGATGTCCCAATATCAGCCTGCAGAATCTGTCACTTGCCTCTATAAATAGCCCATGACATCAGCGTGTATACCTTGTGTGTGTGTGTGTGTGTGTAATTTGGTGTTTACAGACGTGTATCAATCAGATATGTTTATTTACGTCTGGGGACCGACCTTTATATTAAATGTCACCATCTGAAAGAGTTACACACAGAACTTTGTTATTCCTCACTCATTTTTCCTGATTGAGGTGTCATATATAGGGCAGATACTGAACTTCTAGAAATGTGATTTTCTCTTTGAAATTCAGATACCGCCCGCCAAATGACTCTTTGGATCCTTCTCTTCAAATTGATTTTAATCACTCATGCGTGAAATATGCATTATAATGAGTTGCATCAAATGTAAGAGGAGGATCTAAGCTTTACAGGTATTTGTCATTTATTAATTATAATTGTGATTAAGTTATGATTAAACATTGATAATTCTCGGTTTTGTTTTTGTCTGGGACGCACTGTAGAGTTTGAACAAATTCAGTTAAATCATGAAACATGTGAATTTAAACTATTTGTATAAAAATCAATAATTATGAATATTCAGAAAATAGTATCAATTCAAAGTTCATAAAAGATATTGTGAAATGTCATGTCCGCAATATCATACAAATCATATAACCTGGGCAAAGGCATGGGGAAACCAAGTTCTGGGGGATAAAAAGGGAAATAAATGGGATTAAAATATAAGTACAGCGATTGATGAATAGTGAGGACATAACATCACAAACTGATAACTAAATTGACAATTTGTGTAGTGATTTCCATTGTTCCATAGTTTTTGATACTTTAAAAAAAAATCATAACTTCCTAATTAGTTATCTGATTTTACTCAAATTTGTTTTGTTCTGCTTTTCTTGTTTTTCTGCATCTATTAAAGCTTATCTGCCGTAGTTTACAGGAGGGATTAGACTGCCCTACAAGGTCACTGGACAGGTGGTTATCTCAACTCAGCTCTCAGTTAACATAAGAAAAAGAGGATCATGGGGGACCAATGGTCACCGATTAGGCATTGTTTGTTATAAAGAGGGCGCAAGTAGCTACAAGTAGTGCAGTGGGCCTTTAAAGGTACTATGTCCCATTTGCAGGCCAAAAAACTGAAAAGGTTAAATTCCAACGGCATTTGAAAGATATTACTAATTTAGGTTTTTTCTAAAAAAGGTGGGACTCGAAAATGTCTTCAAGTGGGAAAATAACAACTATTAGTTGTCAAATCGACTTAGGAGCTATAGAGCCAATAAGTTATAGTCTTGATTTTCATACCATTGTACCAAATGGTCATACGTTTTATGCTGCACAAAGATTCAATCAGTTAAATTTTGGCCATCACAAGAAGTGGGTTATTGATATAGACATATGCTCATGATACCCTTTACAGCTCATTTTATATACATGTACATGTTATTACCAAAGGAATAAAAGCCAGTCAGTCACTCAATAGTGTCTGACAGTGAAGTCTAGCAAGTAAACAGGTTTCCTTGCATAATTTGAATATTAGGACACTGCTAAAGTTTAAATTTCACAGATAGGACATACTGTACATGTACATGACATATTCATAATTCCTGCAAAGTTCTACAGAATTTGAGGTTGGCTGCAAAAGGGACATAGTACCTTTAAAAGCAAATTATTTTGGAGTGGACTTAGTCTTTAAAACTGTTTAACCATAACATTAAATCTAACATATATTCAAACCCCCTTTTGACAAATCATTAATCAAAGCAAATCATTAATCACATTACCGGGTTTAGCCCTCTTTAGTAACTTTAGATCCCAAAAGAAAGTCCATCATCAATTTTATGATTTATGATCCATCATAATGTATGTAGATACTATGTGATGTTCAATCTGAAATGAAAAGAATCAATAAAACATGAAATTCAACAAAAAACATTGTACTTTGTACTACAGTGAAAAGGGCAATCAGCTGAAGACAGCAAATTGTGAGAAATTACTTTCTATGGGTGAACATACATGTACAGTATATCTTCCAAATTTGCCTTTAACTTGTGTATTGTTGTAATGCTGTATTGTATCTCTGCTAGCATTGAGTTCCAGTCATTTAGTAGCCTGACATTGAAAATACAATTGTATTGTTATCTTTTGCATTATGTTGGGAGATGGCTTAATGTCGGGGGATGTCTTAATGTCTGAATCTGAGGAAATTTATGCAAATTGACTTTTTTCAAGAAAGTGCAGGATAGTAGAATAGAACCCCCTACTCACGTCGGACAAATTTAAATAAGAAATTGGGATTAGACTTTACTTAGCCTTTCAAAAATATATGTGTACTTTGTGTCTCTAAATTTCTATTTTCACTCTAACTATTAAAAGCAATTTAATAAACTGTACATTTGTTAACTCTTTATGCCAACTGTAAACACTACACAAAGAAAGATCACCAAATCAACATCTATTATGGTAATTTGTCTAAAAGTTGGGATTTAATTGCCAGGTCTATTAGTGTGTTTAAGAAATGCACTCATGGTGAACAGTTTTTAGGTCAGGAAGCACACTTGGCAGACCTGCCAACCAGTACGATTTAGTCGTATTTAGTACGATTTTTAGAAGCAAATACGACAGTACGATTTTCCTTAATAAAATACGATTTTCAAAAAAAAAAAAAAAAAAAAACGATTCTTTTTTTTTTTTTTTTTTTTTTTTTTTTTTTTTTTTTTTTTAATTGATATGTTGTGTGTGCGTTTTTCAATGGCAAAATGTCCATTCTGTCCTGTAAAGTATCCTACAAGCATCTCACATCAGCAATTTGGGGATGTTTATTGGTTCATCGAACACACCAGTCGTGATGCATATTCAACCAATGATCAATAAAAAAATTCTTCCTGTAGGTAGAAACTGTAAGAGGCATTGATCTTCGTAACAATCCGTGTTTATTTTCAAGAATACAACTTTTGTCAGTAAAATACAACTTTTGACACTAAAGAATACAGTTTTTGAACTCCAGAGGTTGGCAGGTCTGACTTGGAAGAAAAAAAGTTCTAGTTTTTAGAGTATCAGTAAGTGTATCAACAAAACTTTTTGCATTAATTTTCTGTTAAGGTCATGTACATACACCTGTACATGTCTATAATTACGTACAGATAAAAGAGACACATGAAAGACAAACCTCGTCTAAGTTATTATTTATAAGACAAAATTTAAATATTGAAAAAGTTTCAATTAGAATTCCTTTTTGTGCCAATAAAGATTGAGCGTGACAAGCCCTCAATAATTACAGCATTCTTGTGTATCTTATATATAATTAATTTTTGTTAACCTACACAATTATGACTATTGTCACTGTGTTACTTTTGCAGGTCATAGTTCACCATCTGTTTGGGGATCGAGAGAATGACTTGGTGACCTAGTTTTCATCACTGCACCGTAAAGAAAGCCTTGGAGGGAAATCAACAGATCAACAAACCTTGAGTTTTTGACCTAGACCAAAATATCTCAGGGCATTGTTCAGGATGACCTGATTTAAATTCCTCTGTGGTTTCATCAAAGTGAATAGTTTAATAACAAAACAATAACGAACCTTTCTGCGACCTGCCCAGGTACTTCTGAGCTAGCTGTGACAGTAGTCCACAGTACAAATTCCAATGATGAATACAGCTCTACGAAAGCGATCGATGTAAACAATATTTACCATTCATATCACATGATCCATAGTCCATAGATACGGAAAAGACCTTCCTTTTTTCCTGGTAGGGGTATTGAGTTTGAGCCTTTGAGGTGATTGTCATTGTCAACAGTCAACAGTCCCACTGATTGGATAGTATGATGGAAGTCCCTGGGAGTCCATTTGGGGCCTGTGCCAGCACTGGTAGTGTTGGAGGCGGACTGTCTAGTAGACATCGATGCAAGCATTCAGCGCTCAGTGCTAGTAGAAGACCAGACGGAGACATGGCATTGCAGGATATGGAAGGGGTCCTTCACAATGGAATGACTAACGGATCCTCCAGTGCGACGTCCAGAAAACGACTCAGGATGGACGTCGATCAGGAGAATGAAATGGAGCAGCTGAAACAGATTATTGCTGTCAGAGGTAAAAGTTGTTTCAACAATCTATAAGTTTTCAAGTACATGTAGATGTTGTCCTTGAGTCTCTAATTCAACTTTATGTGATCATTTTTAAACGTTTCCAACTCCTTCCGTTGTAGAAAATGTTTGGTAATGTCGCTCATCAATGGGAGCTCAAAATATATATAGAATAATTCTTTGATCTTACTGAAATAGAAGAAGATGTGACATTATAGAGAGAGAGGGAGAGAGAGATAGAGAAAAGAGAGAGAGAGAGAGTGAGAAAGAGAGAGAAAGAAAGAGAGAGGGTTGTTTTTTATGTCATTTCTTTATTCAAGAAAAGTAGAATACAATATACAAGATGACACAATATATTAGATTCAACAGGTTTGAGAAAAGTAAAAGCAATGATTTGACAGAATATTGACACTTAATGTGAGGAAGTTGCAACAATTCCATTGTTTACATATTAAACCTGATGGCAGTTTCATTTTTTTACCACATACTAAATGTAAACACATGCATGAAACAGAGAGAGAGAGAGAGAGAGAGAGAGAGAGAGAGAGAGAGAGGGAGGGAGGGGTGAAGGATGAACTCAGAGCCCCGGAGAAACAGTAAGAAATACTAACTATCTACCAGCACAAATCAGATGAATTGTGGCTGACATACTGTATTATCTGGACCCTCCTTTTCTCTCACTTCTCTTCCAGCTTTCCTTAAAGCTGCAAGTTATATTTGGAAAATACATTAGTGAAAAATCAGCCCCAAAAGGCCAATGGAAACCAGATTATATTGGCTTTTGAGCATTTATTTTGAATAACTCACAACTGTAGGAACTGAATCCTTTTCTTCTTCTTTTTGTCAGTACTGCCCTTCACTTTTTTGTGCTTTGGTTCACTTTTTCAGATCTGACATTTGTTCTTTCTTAGAATTTCAGATATTTTGTTGCAATAAAAGAAGAATTAGTAGTAGTAAGAATTATTGTATGAACCATACACAGGCCATATTTTTAGGGCAAGGCCACTTTTCTGTAGGGCACATTCATATATTACAGCACAAATAGGAAGAATTGGAAAGGGCACAAAAAAATCTCCAAGGCCAGTGAGAGGGGCATTGAGGCCAATCAAAAGGGCATCCACGGCCATGGCCTTGGTGGCCTTGGATTAATTTAAGCCCTGTATACATATAGTTTAATTCAATCTCCCCCACCCCCCCCCCCCCCCCACCCCCCTTCTCTCTCTCTCTCTCTCTCTCTCTTCTCTTTCTCTTCCTCACTTCTCTATCTTTCTCTCACAAAAACATATATTTCTCACTCTTTGATTTATACTCTTCATCTTTTCTCCCTTTACTCTGGACAGCTCTTTTACACATTATGCTCAATACATGTGTACACAAACACACCCACTTCTGGCCATGTGACTTCATACAATGTACATGTACATTGTACTTTTTTATATTTTTTATTCGACAGATGTCCCAAATTGAATTTTAACCCACCTCACCTCGCCCCCCCCCCCCCCCCCCCAATTTTTTATCACCTTTTCACCAGGAGCCCGTTTCACAAAGCCTTTTTCAATGACAAATGACACAAATCAGTGACAAATCTGCTGATAACCAATCAGAAGCAAGGATTTCAGTAGCTTATTACAAAATCTGTCATTTATCCCTGATGACAAGTTTTTGTGAAACACCCCCCAGGTCGTAACTTTATACCAATCGCTGCCTCACCCACCACCTTCCAGACTGAAGATGTAAAACAGAAGAGTGAGACCATTTATTTACCACTGACTGATGATATCCTAGTCAACATGAGAAGTGCTGAACAGATCAGCTATGGTGCGGGAGTCTACTTTGTAGGAGACGATAAAGGCAGCTATGCAAGGAGTAGTCAAGGTTAGTCACAATGTCTTTTACTGGTAACTGATGATATCCTAGTCAATATGAGAAATGTAACACAGATCAGCTATGGTGCAGGGATAGTAAAGGTTAGTTACAATGTCTTTTACTGGTAACTGATGATATCCTAGTCAATATGAGAAATGTAACACAGATCAGCTATGGTGCAGGGATAGTAAAGGTTAGTTACAATGTCTTTTAACTGATGACATCCTAGTCAACATGAGAAGTGCTGAACAGATCAGCTATGATGCAGGAGTCTACTTTGTAGGAAACCTTAAAGGCAGCTATGCAAGGAGTAGTCAAGGTAATACATGTAGTCACAATGTCTTTTAACTGATGATATCCTAGTCAATATGAGAAATGCAGAACAGTCACAATATCTTTAAACAATCAAGAACAAAGATTCTTTAATAGCTTGTTCAGACTATACAAAATTTACATGAAGACGTTTTATAGAGACTCATTGTATAGCATAAGAAGCGTAGGCTACAGACTAGAAAACAACATCGTATAAAGAAAGAAACATTGCATACAGAAACTTGTTCTGAAGCTGTCCACTGGCAGGTCAGTTGGCCATGATCAGTGCATGCTCACGATAAACTTTGCCCAGTTACAATTTATATGAATTGCTCAGACGACTACAAGACCCTGATTCTTTATCTAGTTTTGTTAAAAACAATACTCGTGTGTTTCACTATACAACGTTTCTCAATGACGTCCAGACTAGGAACAAAGATACTACTTATCGTATACATCTAGCTATACAATTCTCATATAGCTACATGTATGTGATCAATTCTGATATCAATAAGTGTATTTTCTTATCATATTTTGAACGGCCAAGAATAATATTTTGAAATTCTGCATGTAAAAATCAATTCTTATATATATACATAATAATGTGAATGATGTTATTAAATAAAGGATCCCTGTGGAAGGGGGGGGGGAATCTGCTGATTATAAGGGCTAAATCAATCACCATTTCTTCTTTAAATTGGAACCAATGATATTGTTCTTCTTTTACAATTCTTTTCCAATTCTTTTCCAAGTTACAAATTCAATGATATGTAATGGAAACATGAACAGCAGATGCCCCAAATCATTTGAAAATTGCCAATTTCTATGATGAATTCTTCAATACATTGTCAATTGAATGTTGTTACTACTTGTTTTGTGTTTTAAATGTTGCAAATGTATATATAAGTGTATTAGGTGAACAAGTGCTTTCTAAACAGCAATGATTCTATTGAATTCATACAGAAAGTATGGCTACATGCCAACAAGGTTTTTGATGATAATTGTTGAACTGCTGCCAAAGGAAAAATAATGCCATAAAGGAATAATAATGTTGTATGTTTACAATACAGAAGTGAAACCACAATACAAAGTCTATCCATTATTAGTTATTGAATGACAGACATACTTATTACCTTTAGATGCTGCTTATAAGTATCGACTTGCATGGTGATGAAGATATACAGTAGGCTTACGATTGCACCATGTGAGAGGGGGGGGGGGATTGGGGAGTCCTGAAAAGGACTGTCGGTAGTCTTTCTTTCTTTAAATCCTCCCCCCTCTCTCACATGGTGCAACCGTAAGCCTACTGTATAGAAATACCTTTGTTATACCGTTCTGAAATGGAAATTGAAAATTGCCTCATCTGCATTTTCATGAATAACATCAAAATTTGTCAAACTAGAAATTTATTAGATATTTGGCCTTTTCAGTATGTTACTTTGTATTTGATTAAAAGTAATACTTCTTTATCATTGTAAGGGGTTAAAATGAAATTATTATTATAGAATTTTGTGCATGTATGATATTGTAAGGCGAGACAAATTGACATGTGTGCTTGCTTGATTCAACTTTTATGAATCTACATGTAGCAAATGGTCCACATTGACAGATTCAAGAAAGATTCATATTCATAATATGAAATAACTTAATAACCTTAGTTTGTAAAATTTTTACAGTTTGTAACGTTTCTTTTTTTAAATTTTTTTAAAGCAGATTCATAGACTTTCGGTTTATAACTCTGTCTTTAAATTGGGTTCTGATTACAGGTCATGTGGTAAACCTATGGAGATACAGTGAAGCCCGTCAGAAGCTCTTCATCTCTCGTTCATTCCTCTTCACCAATGTCATGGACTTTGTGCAACTCAAAGAAATATTGGAAAATTTATGAACCCTTCTACTGTACTGAGAGTCTGAGACACTTCCATTTTGTAGCAAGACCTTTCCCCAGTAGATCTATGATATTCTTAGTGATCAGACATGCCCCCCTATGCTTCCAGAACGTGAAAAATAGGAACACCAATGGTGCAAGTAAGTTCCATTGATGACATTTTGGTTTTGTTAGCAGATGAACGGGGGGCCATGACCCCTTACGACCCTCCTGGCTTTTCCTATGCATAGCAAGCTTTAATATGCACAGTGTGTAGTATTTACACCTTTATTTCTTTCTCTCATGTGCAGGAAGCTGGGAAACAAATGCTTTCTCATTTATGAATAAATGTCTTACCGAAGAATGTTAGTAAGGATATGAAACCACCGTTTGATCAGTAACTTTTTATGTGGGCAGCCTTCTTTTGAGATTTTATCATCTGTTCAGAGCCAGAAGGGTAATCAATTTCTCTGTGTGAAAGTATATGATCTAACGCCTTTAATAATAACAATAATATAATAATAAAATTGGTTTCACAGCGCTTTACAAGGTATGAAGGTGGGAAAATAAGTTGAATAAATACGTCTTCAAGTATCTAGTGTGGGTGCTATAGGGGTGTCCAGGGGCAGTTGATTCCAGAGGCAGGGATGCATATAATTGAAAATCATTACCGGTATCATCTGTCACTGATGCTTTTCTGGCTTCATACATACATTGTCTGGATTAAAGTTACGATTTTTGTCAAACTCTTGTAATTTAACTCAAACAAGAATGATGAAAAGCTCTCTTGAATAATAGATAGATTGGTAAATGTTTTGAATAAGGAAAATATAAACGGTACAAAGTACATGTAAATATATGTGGTGGGTTGATCCCTCATATACAGTACATGTATTGATCTTCAAATAAATCAACCTACACTTTAGTGCATGTAGGTGGTAATTTGTGATGTACAGTATGTAAAGGTGACTAAAATATCTGTGTGTAGAAGGAATAGATGGAAATTGGAATTTTTTTTTTAATGAAATGTAAGCTTGCCTCAATGTTATGCATCAATCAAATGCTGTAATTCTTGTATATATTTTGTAAGACACAACATACAATTGCTGAATTGTAACATGCCTTTTTTTATATACCTTATTGCAAAAGAAAATGATAATTATGCACTTGTTTATAACTTTGTATGAACATATATATACATACTACATACCGGTATCTGTATAGAATTAGAAGACAACACTTAGAAATGATTTTCAAATGTAAATTATGCATTTATTCCAGTTCTTTGGAATGTATATTTAACTCTGCATTTAAAAGTCAACTTGTATGTTGGCTTGTTGGGACTGCAAAAAAAAGTTTGACTTTATCGTGCAAGTTTCGACTTAGGAAATGTAAATGACACATGTTTTGCATAGTTTGGTAAAAAGAAAAGAAGTGAGTTAAGATTTGACTTACAAGCGTGATGAATTTATGCAGGGTTGACTGTATTTTACTGAGATGTGATTCCTTTGTGTGCAAGTGATCCACATTATTACTTCATTCATTCACTCCACCTTATGGAGGTGTCTCATGGCTTAGTGGTTCATTCACTTGACCCTCAATCCAAGGGTCGAGGGTCTGTATCCAAGTTTAATCCACATCTGCCACTCTACACCCCGGTGTTAAAGGAAACCAAAACCTAGTTACTTTTCTTGTAAAGTTTAAAAGATTTGAATAAAATCAGTGAAAATTTGAACAAAATCGGGCAAGGAATAAGAAAGTTAGAGCATTTTGAAATGACTAGTCACTAGAGGGCGGTATTCAATTTGATGACATCATCTGTGAACAACCCTCCATGCCTTTTGTACATAAAATTTTACAATTTTTTTGTTTTCTTCGTATTTATTTGTGTTCTTGATCTGACTTCATAACATGTGAAGTAGAATATCATTTTGCATTCTATATCTTGCTTTCAGGGGAGTACATTATCTCAATCACAAGAAAGAAGGAAAACATGAAATTTGATGTACAAAAGGCATGGAGAGTTGTCCACAGATGATGTCATCAAATTGAATACCGCCCTCTAGTGACTAGTCATTTCAAAAAGCTCTTACTTCCTTATTCCTTGCCCGATTTTGTTCAAATTTTCACTGATATTTTTCAAATATCTTAAACTTTACAATAAAAGTAACTTAGTATGAAGGTTTTGGTTTCCTTTTATACCGTAGGTACTTGGTAGAATGCTAAAGTCATTGTGGTTTGCTCAGGATCAATATCAACCAAATCAACCCCTTTAAGGATAATTAACCAAATACATGTACATGTTGTCTTCCAAAGTTGTTACATACATTAGATGTTAGTGCCTTTATGTTGATTGTTGAACTGTCCGAAACTCATGGTGCTTGCGATGTACAGTGCTGGTATAATTATGACATTTGTTTAGTGTAGAAAAGGTGTTGGATATTGGTGTTACTGATCAAATCCTGTTACCGGTAATTAGCCTTCGCTTCCAAGTTTTTACTTTTTTTATCCAAAGAATCACTGTTTTTATCCAAAGAATCAATTTTTTTGTGTTCATTTTTACTGGAATTTACTAGGTATCTGCTGCTTAAAAAGGATCTGAAATGGAAATTGTTTATCTAATGTATCTGAACCGTATTATCCAGTTCAATGAATAGAGAATTATTGTGCTTAATTGTCCATATGGAGATATTACATGTGTAAGATAAATGTGTTCTGTTTTTTTTTTTTTTTTGGGGGGGGGGGGGGGAGGGGGCATTAAAGGCCAAACTCAGAGACCTGTACCAGATTAAGACAGAGCCAATTACTATTTCTTTCAATAGGAGATTTACATGTAGTCACATGCCAGTTTTTGCCCCAGTAAAAGATCCAATGTTTATACATTTGTTTGTATTCATATGATATACATAATTCTGATTTTTAATTTTAGCTAGGACTAAAAATCTGAAATGAAAAGGTTTTTGTGTAATCTTATAAACTTGAGAATTATATCTTTTATGTACTGTTATTTTTAACAAGGCTTGCAAAGCAGTAAATAGTAAATCATCTGAAAGATTAAAGTGATAACTAATTGTCCAAAGGGTATTTTGTATTATCTGACTTCTCCTTGTGAAATGTTGCGGAAAAGTTCAGAAAACAAGGCACAACCCCAAGTATCAATGAAGTGATTACATTCAATGTTTCTTGAGTGGCAATTATGCCTTCATTATGATTTTTTTTTCCGTGTCCATTTGCCATTTGGCCATTTTTTGATAATTATTTGTAAGTGTCAATTTGGATGGGGAAATATTCACAATGCAAATACAATTTTTGTTCATCTTAGTGTCCTTGAGAATCTGGACTCTTTATTTCTTCATGGCATTTTATTTAAACAGTGATTTCAAGTGAGTCATATAAGATACAGGTGTACAGTATATCATTATTATGATAGGAAGAACAAACTCCCTATAAATATCTCTTCTCCCCCCCCCCCCTCTCTCTCTCTCTCTCTCTCTCTCTCTCTCTCTCTCTCTCTCTCTCTCTCTCTCTCTCTTGCCCTCTCTCTTGCCCCTTTCCCTCGCCCCCCTTTTCCCCCCACCATATATTTTATTTCATCATATGTGTTGAATTTCATTCACATGAATGGCAATCCTTGTAGTGTTGCATGTGTGTACCGGTAGTGTACTTGTAAATTCCCAGTGTTCTTAATGCATTCAGTTGTTTCTATAAATATTCCAATTAAATAAAGTGCAATAATTATATTTCACACTCATTGTAGAAATTTCTTGTTAAATTCAGCGAGCCAAAGTTTATAGTACACATACTCAATTTGTATATTATTTTGTACATTCTGTAGATATAATTTGTTGGCATGAATCAAGTCTAAAGTTCTTTGTTCAAATGTGTTTGTATTCTGTAATGTAAGTGACAACCTGTGTAGCGTTCTTCTGGGTGTTTTTTCAGGTTTATACATTCTCTTTTTTCAATGTTTAAATATTTGTTCTAGTCATTCTTTTGATCATGCCAAACCCGAATTATTTTCATCCATATGGTTTCTCACCATTTTCTTTCATGAAGATAACTTGTTTATCTTGAACTCTGCAAAACATATTTTGTGTGCATGTTTTTTGTGTGCATGTTTTTGCCAAAGTTTTTTGTTTACATCTTTCAAAACTTTATTTTGTATTTTATGTTTGAATAATAAAAGAAAGAATAACTTCATACTCTCATTGTTGTTGTTTTCCGTATTCAAAAAGATGGAAATGATTTTGGTTTATTATGACACTACTTGGCAAGTTGAATTGTTTAGGTATGAGCAGGGACATATATATTTTATAAGTACCTGGTATGAAAAGGGCAAGAAGAGACATGTAAAGATGAAAATAGGAGGAAATACAAAGGGAAGGAAGACAGAAGAGCAAGAGAGGGGGAGAGAGAGAGGGGAGGGGGAAGGGGACATAGTTCCATTTAGATTGATTTAAACTGAACTGATATAACAAATTGATAATACAGGAAAAGATCGTAGGAGAGAATGATAAAGAAGTAAAGAAAAAACCAAGATAGAGATGAAGAGACAAGGAGATGAAGGGGGAGATGAACTGACGGAGGTAGTATAGGAAAAAAACAGGGAGAAGGGTGAATAGAGACAACAGACGAACAGATACAGAGAGAAAGTGAAGAGAGACAATAAGACTGAAGAAAAGTAGGCCTAGAGAGAAGACGAGAGAGAAAGAAACAAAAATGGTGAGCGGGTTAAAAAAGGATAAACGAGAGACAGATTGAGGATTCAGTATGGACAAAGAGTGAAATTTAAATGGGTTCAAACCATTTAGGCATAAAGAGCGAACCCCCAAGTTAAAAAAATATATATTTGTAGAAAATTAGAGCACAATATGTCTTGCTAAACTACCACATCACAAAGAAATGTATACCAGTAGTAGCAGATACCGGTACTGTTCCAGGGGGGCGTTTCATAAGGCCGTTCGTAAAGTTACGCATGACTTTATGAACGACTTGACTATGAAGTGCCATATAGGATGCCCAAAGTTTTTCCTGATGTTTTCACAAAGTGTGACTATATTTCCAATAACCTCAATTAAATTATGGCAAAAATTTACTTTGTATTAAAAATGTTTGTTATAATAAGAATGTTGATCTACATCTGCACAGTTCAACTTGAGTTTTTAGCTTTTCATATATAAGTCGTTCGTAAAGTTACGCCGTTCGTAAAGTTACGCATGACTTTACGAACGGCTTCATGAAACGCCCCCCCCCCCCTCCCTGGAGTGAATGAGCCACAGCAAAGGCGTGCACGGCATACATTCCTATCGCTCACGTTCATACTACACATGAAATATTATCAAACCTCATATATGTACATTCCTCCATTTGTTCATGTGCTACTATTTAACTTGTGGGAATCCTGCAGTAAGATTTCCAATAACTCTTGTAAAAGGATCTTGAATCTAAAAATTCACAAAAGGCACAAAACTTCCATATATAAGAGCAGGTGTTCAGATTGGTGATAGCTTTTGAATGACTGAAACTCTACAAGTACCATTACTAATATCTGTAGTAAAAACCAAAAAATAAGATGAACGTATACACCATGTACCTTTTTTTTTTATGTCATTTTAATTTACATGTAAATGGAAAAAAATTATACCAGACAATAAAATCAGTTAAAAAATATATATACAAGGACATGTACTGAAACTGTTTATCAATCCTATCCCAAATTCAAAGCAATATTTATTTACCAATTATCAAAGAACATGATCTGTACATTTCTATAAAGTACATTGTACAGCGTTCAAAAAGGTTTTTATTCATGTGAACACGCAGCTCAAATCCATGCCTTTTAAAGCATCTAAATAAGTTAAAATATAAAACAGGGTTTGTACCAGGCTAGTATTCTTGGACTCAAAATTTGAAAGATTCAATACTACTACATGTATCTCCAGACGGGGAATCGACCAGGAGCATGCATGTTAGATAAAATTACTGTTGGTCTGTCAATATTTGTTTTGTTTTGTTTTTATTTAAAAATCTGATTAAAAAATGTGACTTCCTAGTCAAAAAGAAAGATTCTCTTCCTACACATAAAATTTACAAATGGATGGTTACTCTTGAATCTCAATTCGCCTTATTTTGGGTATATGTGTATACCTGTACTCCTATTAAAGAAGAACTGTCAAAGTGAGATCTTTATATTTGTATGATAATATAGTAGAAAGTGAGATATGAAATTATTCAAACATACATTTAGGTTACCAAAAATTTGTTCATCTGGCAATTATCATTATGAAAAGACAGAACATGGAGATTATTTTCACAGTAGGATTGAAGTCTTAACTCTTACGTCCTAAAAAGAATATCTACAAGAACAGTAGCTGAGTAGTTTTGAAAAAGATAATAAAACAAACTCTAATGTCATAAATACTTACTCCATAATTCTAATTATAACCTCCTTTGCAATGTACATGTACCTTTCTTCTTTTAGCCTACAAGTCTTTTCTCTACCAAATTTTGATTTTACAAGACGAATTTCCTTAAGAACCTCTATCAGGAAGATTTTTAAAACTTAATCCTACAAATGTTACTCTTAATGACATGTCTTTAAACACTGGTCCTAGTTGTACCATGCACTTTAGATAGACAGCTAAAATCATGTGGATAGGTCCCAGCGGTGCCTGTACTACTAGCTGAAGATATTTTTTGGCTCTTGTTTTAAAACAAATTAGAGAATTGTAACCGCTGCAGTTTATTTGATTTCTTCTTGGAGTGATGCAATAAAGACACAATCTATCTTCAGCTAATCCATGTGGATATGTACCAACACTGACAGTCAGAAGGAGAAAAAACACTCAAGTCTGGAAACAAAATACTCTTGCAAGCATGGGAAGTTTATCCGATCAGTTCTGAGGAGCTACATGTACATGTAGTTGATAAGTTTAGTTTTTAGCATTCTGTCTCTTTCCATAATAGCCACGAGGGAAGGGAGCTGTTGATTTTCCTTCAAGTTATTAACAGTTCCATGCAGATTTCCATATCACAGTTAATAACACAATTGAAGCAGTCTTTGTAAGCTGGAGTAGAGTCTCCCAGTTCTGAGGAGCTACATGTAGTTGATAACTTTAGTTTTTAGCATTCTATCTCTTTCCATAATAGCCATGAGGGAAGGGAGCTGTTGCTTTTCCTTCAAGTTATAAACAGTTTCCATGCAGATTTCCATATCACAGAGTACACAATTGAAGCAGTCTTTGGAAACTGGAAGGAGTAGTCTCTCATTTTGTCCAACTGACTTTGGGAATGTCAAAGTGTTCTGTAAGGGTGTCCAGTTTAGAATTGAATTCCTAGAAGAATCGGAAAGAAGAAAAATACAATCATTGAGAAATATACTTATATATAAATTACACAGAACAAATAAAAGTTGGAAATATGAAAGGAACAAAGTTCTAATACATTGCCATAAATTAAGGACTGCTTTTCCAACTTTAATATAGATACGCTAATACATCTCCATAAATTAAGGACTGCTTTCAAATTTTTACATAGATATTCATCAACAGCTAACAAAAAACATTTAAGACTATTTTATTTTTCCAAAACCATTTCTAAAACCATTAACCAAGTTTTCCTACAATGTATGTCTTCATTACATCACTTTCATCTTCATAGTATTTCTTGCCCTGTTACTTCAATTCTTAATCCCTGATTTTAGAGGTATTTATCATTGCAGTATAAATATAATATTATAAATTAACATTCAATTTCCATTCACACATTCATCAATTTCCCTCCTACATTCTGAACCAAATTAACACATTTACGAGTTCACTTTCACCAACAACCCCCCCCCCCCCCCCCCCCCCGCCCCAAACATGATGAATATATTAGGTCTAATGCTACATGTAGGTTTAATACATATATTGGTGTAAGGATAAGATAGGATGATCGCAGCAAACTTACATTAACTCTCTCTTTGTGTTTCTTGGAAGCCTTATCAAGGATCCTCACCAGTTGCTGTGAAAGATTAAAGACACAATCAAGAAAACATTACAGATTCAGATTCAGATTACATTAAGTTAAACAAAAATCAGTGGAGTAATGAAGACATTAAATAACAAAGAAGTCACAAGGTAAATGTAGGTATTTTGTAGAAATGACCTTCTCACCAGTCACAGTTCCTCTCTTCAAATTACAAGATTTACAGCCACATCTTACATTTTTACATACTGCACGCTCTTGCTAGAATACAATTTATTGGGCTTTAGGAAAATGAGGTGCAACACAGTTGGAAGAGTTTTCCATGAATGACATCATATATATCATGACAGAATTGTCTAGATTTTTCTCCCATCACGATTTTAACTTTTAAGAATTCATAACTTCTTTTCTTTGTCTGATTTTTCTCAAACTTTCTATTTCAATGTTGGTTTCACATTTTTTTAATGTAATTCCTTTGTACAGTATATACTTTTAATTGCTAGGTAACTATTAGGAGATAAAAAGATAATTCCCTTCACAAAAGTACACAATTACTCCTACATGTACACATACTTACCCTTTGTTCTTGAGTCTTGTCAAAAGCTTTCTGGGCTTTGGTGCGCTTATCCCTCTTTGCCTGTCTCTCTTCTATCTCATCTTCCTCTCTTAAACTAGTCATTACCTGCTCCAGTTTCTTACTTTCCTTCTTCCTCTTCTTCTTCCTACCAAACAAAACAAAATCAAACACAATAATTTGATGCTTACTTTACGATATAAATAGATCTCTAGCATGTCTAGTGTAAAAAAGGCCAAGAGAAAGTACGCACGCATTCATATTTGCTGCGACGCGACGCTAGCGCACATGCATACTTTCTCTTCGCCATGTTGAATCGACGATACAACATGGAAGAATCGTTCGGGTAGGACGAAGAATCACCCCCTTTTTCCCATATTCAAAGACTTCTTCAAATTATAATTTCAAGTGGCCAGCGAAATGCCCAGAGGAATCGAGCAACCTAGTAGGCCTAAGTCAAAATTGTAATTACTCCCTTTGCATATTTTGAGATAATGTCGCCCAACCTGCTGTTTGAATGTTTTCCTATGCAGCCTCTGAAAATCCGACGCCTTATCTGCTTATTATTACTTAGGCGTCGGTGTCGGAGCTTCCTGGAGTTATGGCTTATCTGTAGCCTAGCGCTAGCCATCGGCCATTCATCGCCAGTGGCAGTGCAGTGCTCCGCAGCTCAGCGCGCAGTTAATAATTGAAGGGGTTCAATTGAAGATCCCCTCTCCAATATCCCGAATAAACTATAGTTTCCACGTTCATCATGTTCCTGAACATGATTTCGTTTAAATAATAAAGATTAATAACTTACTTCTTCGCTCCTAAATCTCCACCTCCCTTCAATTTCAGAGCTCCACCAGCTGACGAATACGCCGACATCTTCTTTCTTTTTTGGTTGTTTTGCTAAATCGACATTTTAGTATGACCGCTAGATGGCAGTAGATTTTTATTGCAAAGTGGTACATTAATATTGCATTGAACATGAAGCAAGTTCAGTCGAGATGTTTATTTTGTTTTCATAGGTTTTTATTCTCTTCTCTCAAGATACATTAGAGATACATTTCTCTTGTTTCTGCATCACCTATAATCCTATATATATAATATGCAGTCAACAAACATTTGCCTAAATAGGCGGACCCATGGGCTGTTAAATGGCCGTAGCCCACACTGAAAATAAAAAAAACTGAAGAAAAAAAAGAAAAAAAACAATTTATGATGGGCATCATAATGTGGTAAACGTAAAAAGGGGAGAGCAGGGCCGGTGGATCAAGTGGGAAAGGAATCGTGATGCAGAACTTCTTTATAAAAAAAAAACTCTGTACCGTTTATTGTAACCTACACTGTAGTACTTCTAGGCTACATAATGAACAGTACCCTCCTTTTTGTTTTAATTTTTAAGCGATTAATCGTACTAAAAGAGGTCTTGAGCAAGAATGATCGAGCCAGTGGGCCATTATCCCAGTGAGAGTGCGCTGGAAGAGAGGTAGGGATGCATATGAAGTGGGACCAAAATTTCAAACAATTTAAAGCCACACTTTATACTGAGAGTTTTCCAAAATTAGCCAGAGCTGGTGATATTTATACTGGAATAAATTGTTCCAATTTGCGCCACATCTTAGACTTGTCAAAAATGAATTCTTGATAGCAAGAATTCTTATTTTTTAATATCACGAAATAGGATTCAATGTCAAAACGACTTGACAGACGCTCTATGCCTCTTCCTATATAGGATCCCCTATAAAAAGGACCCCCTCCAAAAAAAATTATAGTATAGCGCCATCTCAAGTCAATCACTTAATCAGTATGACGTCACAATCGGCAAGGAGATAGGGTAAACTATTTCGTAGGATCCGGGTGCAGGATAAACCTGAAATCTTGTATTTTGTACGTGTTAAGGTGATTTGTTGATATAAAGCGATGGAGTGATGGGTACTGGTGCTGGAAAGAACCTAGTAGTGGGGGTGCCACTAAATCCTCGAGTCGAATTAGCGGACAGAGAGAGCAAGAAAGCCGGAGGAGGAGAGGTAAATATTGAGCCCAAAATGCGTAGCCAACACAGTTCTGCAGGAGAAACTCTACCTGCACGCCTGGCCTAGCTGCGCCGCGGCGTCCCCGACACAAGTGCGGGATGTAGCATGTAGCCGCTGGCAAGCCATAGATAATAAAATGCCAGGCGGATTATCATGACATCATTATCTTGTTATCTATCATTATTAATTAATGGTCAATAATCATAGAGGAATGAAGTTAGGGGAGTATCACAAAGAACTTTGCGCATTGCCATTGAACGCTGTTCAGTGAGTTTACGCGCTCTCATTGGCCGATATATCCGCTCGAGTGGCTTCGAATTTAAAATACTCAATTTTAGTGGGTTCATATCCAATGCATTTATTTTTTGAAAGTTAGGCCTAAGGTAATATACATCGGTTACACTTACCAGATTGACTTGTATGATGCGTTTAAGGGTCTTTTTTTCAGATTTTCTTTGTCAAAATTGAGCTCGTGTTGAAATTCTTGCAGCCATATTTTATTAACTGTTACTGTGCATGAAGGAAGATGACGTCATCCATTGACAGAAACCCAGTTTAAAATACGACTGCATAAATTTCATGTTCTTTCTTCCCTAAATTGTTTTGATAGATGCTTAGATTTGATTTGACGTTATCTCTTTCCCAGAGTGTACTGATCGATGCTCCAGCTCTGATAGATCTTGGTCACGGTACGGTGAGATACAGGAGAGATGAAGATCAGAGGGAGACACGCGAGACAGCAGACCAGGATGTAACAATCAACAAGAAAGGATACTTCTACCAAGCTCGCCTTGATGATTACAGTGAAGGTATGGAAACAACGTCTTCTCCCAAAGCCCCACCGTACTATGTAATGATTGGGTCCTAATAAATGACACAGTCACACTTCAGATATCAGTTCAGTAGCTGCTACACTGGCACGTTTTATTTGTGTCTGTCCTAGTTACAACGTCACTGTCTCTCTATGTTGTTGTACTGTATGCGTGTATGTGTATGTGACTATGGTAAGCCAAATGGCGATACTACATTCCTCCCTTCCTTGGATGGAATCTACCACAGAAATCTTGTTAAGCATCAAAAGCAATATGAGCACGAGTAATATACTTTCCAAGATATAGAATGAACCTTTCATATCATACATATATCCATAAAACTTGTGTATTTCCACTTTTTAGTCTTATATTTTGGAAACCAGTACTTTCTTTACTTCTTTCAGACAAAAACTGAACTTTGAAATCTAACACAACTTTTCAACTGAACAAATGCCAACAAATACATTAGAGTTATATTTTTAACCCCATTAAACAAAGCAATTAATAAGTTTGGGTGAACGAGTTTATACCAAACAACATTTTACCTTCTTTTCTCAATTCACAAGGAGTGAGAAATCATTAAACCATTAAATACTCTTCAAAACAAAGAATAGTGATAAAACATAGCCCTGGCTTTACTGAAGGCTATTTATACCTCAAATTTGAGTTTTACTACATCCAACAACAAAAAACAACTTTCCTTTCGCATCAACATTTTGTTGTTTTTGAATCACATTTACTACAACAAATGATAGACTGTTATTAAAATTATAAAAAAGTTTGATCATTTTGTTTCTCTCTTATAACCTCTTGTAGCTGTAAAAGAGTATCAATAGTAGCAATAGATGATAGCGATAATTTAAGTCTTCACGCGGAGGATCTTAATGTAAACGCTACAAATGTAATAAACATCAATGAGAAACAAACGCAAATTGAAAAAACTACAGCTTCCAAGGATGAAAGTGAACTAAATGAAGGACACAATGTGACAAATACACAAGGATATTATGAACTTGTTGATGGCATGATTCCGGAACTCTGTTCAACCGGTTTAAAGATATGTCATATAAATATAAACTCTCTCCCACACAAAATGGATGAACTGAAAATTCTTCTAGGTAACGATCCATTTGACATTGTTGCAATTTCAGAAACACATTGTGATTCCACAATTACGGATTTAGATATATCATTAGATAATTTTTGTGTAACTCGAAAAGATCGATCAAGACACGGAGGAGGCATAGCGCTCTATGTAAAAAATAATATAAGTTTCGAAGTTATTAGTCAACTTGATAATGAACTAGAAGTAATTTTTGTCAAAGTTAAACAAAAACAAACACATCCTTTGTATCTGGGAGTTGTCTATAGACCTCCGAATTCACCAAATGAGTTTTTTGATAAGCTATCTGAAATAATTCACTCGATCAGTGAGAATGCAGGAGAAATCATAATTATTGGTGATTTTAATTGTGATTTATTACCAGAAATCTGCACTCCATTTTCCCGAGCCCTTTTGTCATTAATGGATACTAATCTATTACATCAACTCATTAGTGTACCCACCCGTGTTACGCCCCACACAAAGTCATTGATCGATCACGTATTTTCATCCATCCCAGAGGAACACCAACACACGGGAGTGGTGAAGACTCATATAAGTGATCATTATCTAATATTCACTGTTTTTGGATATGCAAGGGCCAAGCAAAAGAATGATGATAATATTATTGAGTATCGATGCTTTAGACATTTTTCTAATGATAATTTTGTCACCATGTTACAGAACTTGCCTTTCAACGAGATTTTAAATGATAAGGATCCAAATCATGCTTGGCAATGTTGGGTTGACTTGCTCATAAGTGCCGTCAACAAGCACGCACCAGTAAAGAGTAAACGTATTAGATCCAAGTTGTGCCCGTGGATTACTGGCGATTTAATAGAGGCCATGAATAGGCGTGATTGGCTTTACACAATGGCAACTAAGCCTAGCAATCCCGATAGCTCTGAATTTTGGTCAGAATACAAGTCATTAAGAAACGAAATTACGTGTATGATCAGAAATGCCAAAAATGATTATATAAATGCTCTACTCCATGAGAACGGCGGAACTCCTAACGCCATGTGGAAAACTTTGAAACTCATATCATCATCTAAAAAAGAGAGTAACCTTAAACTGGAAGTAGATGGTGAAGAAGTAATTGATGCCGAGAAGATAGCCAATCACTTTAACAATTACTTTGTGGACGCAGTCGATACTATGTTTAATCCTCTTAACTTTGAAAATGATGTTAACAACTCCACCATTGATAGAGCTAGTGAACCATCTGTACACAGCGATACTGTTGATACCGTTCCTCCAGTCAATTCGTTTGATCTCCCAGTTATAACAGATGAATTTGTTATGAAGGAAATCGAACGTATCCCAATTAAAAAAGCCACCGGCCCAGACGATGTTTCAATAAAATTACTAAAATTTGCATGCAATTCTCAAAATGTAATACAAAGCCTTACTTATATACTTAATTCATCTTTGGATCAGGGAATTTTTTTTGATGAATGGAAGATCGCACGAGTCCAACCTATTTATAAAGCTGGAAGTAAACTCAGCGTTGAAAATTATAGACCAGTTTCGTTATTGTCCATACCATCCAAAATACTGGAAAAAGCTGTGAACACGGAATTCCAAGAATATTTAAAAGTAAATAAGATATTAACAGAAAGGCAGTTTGGCTTCCGCCCCAACCATTCATGCGAAACTGCCCTGCTTTGTATGGTAGATTTATGGGCCCAAAACGTGGACAAAGGCAACTTAAACGGTGTTGCGTATATTGATATGAGGAAGGCATTCGATGCAGTGAATCACTCAACTCTATTAATGAAGTTAAAAAACGTTGGTTGCACGGATAGAGCCATAAAATGGTTTCGGTCCTATCTAGGAGGCAGGAGCCAGTTTGTGTCTATTAAAGGTAAAAAGTCATCAACGAGAACAATTAATTACGGTGTACCCCAAGGTTCTGTCTTAGCGCCATTGTTATTCTCGATATTTATTAATGACTTGCCCACTAGTATTCATAGTGCGGACATGTTTTTATTTGCAGATGACGCGACCATGTCGGTACAAGGCAAAACATTATCTGAGATCCAAACGAAACTAAATCTTGCTTTAGATGAAGTGTATTCGTGGACGCAAAAAAATAAACTTCTATTGAATACTACTAAAACAAAGGTAATGGTTATTGGGTCGAAGCAAAAGTTACAGACGCTAAACGAAAATAATTTAAATGTGCATATAAAGACAACACCGATTGAATGTGTGACACAGTACAAATGCCTCGGAGTTATAGTAGACAGCAATCTCTTATTTTCGAAGCATGTCGAAAAAGTAGCTTTACAAATGAAACAGAAATTAGGTATTCTAAGAAGACTCAAGGGCACGTTCAATAAACATTATCTGAGTATGATATACTGGGGCTATATTCTACCTCATGCTATGTACTGCTGCACTGTGTGGACAAATAGATCCCTGCATAATTATGAAACTATAAATAAATTACATAAACGAGCAGCATATATTATATCTGGATGTTCGTGGTCAACTCCTTCACACGAGGTTTTATTACAACTTAATTGGTCAACACTTGAGGCATTGTATTCAAGAGCAATGGGGATTATGGCATTTAAATGTGTTCACCATCTTGCACCTGCCTTATTGGCAAACAAATTTATTTTACATGATGATGTAGCACAACGCATGACACGTAATTCCCATCAACTTAAGCTGGAATCCAATAGGTGCAATACAGAATTCTTTAAGCGCTCCTTTGTAAACTCTGCAATAACACTCTGGAATAATCTACCCATAGAAACCAGGTTCTCCCCCAATCTGAACGTATTCAAAAGCAATTTATCACACTGAGTCTGGAACGCTCTTGTTCATTGCCGTGCAATATGAATGCTGCAATCTCCTTTAACATTTTATTTTAATTAGCACACGCCAATAATGAATCTTGCTTACTTATTTTATCAATATGCTAAACAACATTATCATTGATGTTTTTTTTTTTTTTTTTTTAAACCTCAATCAAGGAATCTTTGAAATTGTATTTCATGTACTTAAGCAATACCATGTTATGAATTGATTATGATACTAACATATGCATGTTATTATATTTATGTGCATAATATGTCAACTATTTGTTTTTATAATTAATAGTTTAAAGTATTAAATGGGAAAGTATTAATAGTATATATGGTATAACGTAATGGTGACGGCAAACTTTTTTAACATTGAAATATATTGCAATAATTTGTTTTGATATTTATACCATACTTTGTTTTAACTTTAACCTAATACTATGTGTTATTGCGTACAAATGTCAACTACATGTATATATATATATATATTTTAATTGTGGGTTTTTGTTGTTGTTTGTTTACAATAGTTTTAATTATAAACTGGGAAAGTATTTAATTGTATACATTTTATAATTACTCAATGGTGACGGTAAACTTTTTTAACATTGAAATATTCGCAACAATTTTATAAATATCTATAGCATACCTTATCTTAATTTGAACTTCGTATACTATGAAATGTACTGTATCGCCTTTTTATTGCATGTCCGAATTATCTCTCATATTATAATGTGCATTTATTGTTGTTTTGATTGACATTATTATTGAACCATGTATGTTGTAAAGGGCCCTGATGAAAACCAGCTCATGCTGATCGGGCTACCCTTTTTAAAGATGTGAAATAAATAAATAAATAAATAAATAAATCTACATAAAAGGCAATATATGTCTTTAAACAAGATTATTGAGTGAAAACTATTCAGAATGAACTTGGGTTATTCAGTATTGTAGATACTACTTTCATTCCTTTTCCTTTAAAAAAAAATTGTGTATCTCAAACTTCCTGCTATGTACGACATTCAGACAAGAGAATGATTAAATGTCTAGCGTGATACAGGCTTGATGACAGTATATGTATG